TCACATCACATCACATCACATCACATCAAATCACATAACCTGTCATCATATCACATCATATAACTTCATATAACATTATATCACATCATATCACATCAAATCACATAACATCATGCCACATCAAATCGCATTACATTACATCACATCACATCACATCACATCACATCACATCGCATCATGTCGCAATAAATCAAATCAAATCACATCGCATCACATCACATCACATCCCATCGCGTTACATTACATCACCTCACATCACATCGCAGCACATCACACCACATTATATCACACCGTATCACATTCACCCTCTACGTCCAGTTGTGTAATTATAATCATTGATGCCTAGGCACAGTGAGTGCAACAAGTTCACATGTACACATACAGGCATGCATACACACAAAGGCATTTAACACTCCCATAGGCAGGTGGTGGGCCCTGCCAATGGGAGAACTAGATATTTTTCGTATTTTTCATGAAAACGAGGTGGCCAACAAAGCGGCCATCTTAAACTCTTTCCATGAGCAATTTCGAATACTTCTGGTCTTGCTGATCCCTCGAGGCGCGATCAGGACGCGAGAAAAGGGAGAAGATTAAGACTTTAGACCTCCGCACCAGAGTACGGTTGTTTCGTGAAGAGTGGGACCATCCAGAAATTTCAGTAGCAACAATTTCATATTAAACATTTTCCTGTCCATAAAATGTCATTTCTTCCTTCGGAGACTAGCCGTACGTTTAAATCCTCACACACGCCGTCATTATTGGGCACAAATGGATTGAGGCTGACCAAAAATGGGTTATGGGTAGATTCGCAAAGTGCTCTATTTCCTCTGCACAACTCACAACCCCTTAGCAGAGCCATAGCAACGGAAATGAGAATAGATCAGCTCCAACATGAGCAGACCTCATGTACTTAGGCCACGGGTATTAAGCGACCATTTCGATATTGCATATTGTCTGCCAAGTCGGTAAAGATTCCGAGCCCTTAATCGAGTCGATCAACCAACCATTTCATCTAATTGATCCACTGGCAGTCTCGAAACTGTAAAGTAGTCGATTGTTATAGCAAATATAACTTTACTTTATCGACATTCCCACCAAAGAATGTGATAAAGGAGGGGCCGGGCCGTTCTTGAAATGCACATCTGCCCTGTGATCCAATGGCACTCGTGGCAATGTGACTTAGCGGTCGACATGTTGAGATTGCACGTTGCAGTGCCATGGTTCGAGTCCCGCTGTGGGTGTTGATAACACCTCGAAACTGCTGCCCAGTCTGGATAGGAATACCTTTTGGAAAGTAAGGCGATACGAAATTCAATAGAACTGTACGTTATACTCATCAACTGTGGCTGAATACATGCTCATGCTAAACCCTAAAGACACAAGTGGGTTGACCTCGTTGTCGCAACTTGGTCTTGTTGTCAGGGCGACTTGGTAGAATGCACCTAGTCCGAAGTCGTATGCCATAGCAGTTGTCATGATTGCCAGCATCAGACAGTGGACTTGGCACATTCTCAGACGAGGTCAACCCTCTTCCATACGTCGAAAGGAGACTGTGACTGTACCAGAGGCCACACCATCTTGGTCTTCATGGCCTAAAGACAGAGTTTCCGATAAAACAGACCTTGGTTACATGATGGTTGTATCGAAGTGGTTGAGTCATGACTACCAAGTCCGTCCGACCGACCTACAATCTGCTTGCTAACCTCCTGGTCTACGTAAGCCGGGTTTGTCAACTCTGACAATAAGGCAGCATCAATGGCATCATGCTCATTTGATAATAAACTAGAATCACCAGCTATTTTCACCTTGTCTACAAGAAATTGACGAGAGATCTCGATCAATTTGGCCTTCATTTAGAGTGAAACTGGTTGTGATGAAGAGATCCGCCTGAGGCCGTTTAAGGTGACTTAAGAAATGAGTGCTAAATTTGTGAAGAGAAACTAGTGAATTTCGCTTAGCTGTGCTCCTGAGAAGTCGCCTCATACGACCTCAAATCATCATAAACGAATGGGTTCTTTCCAAGAATTGCTCATAATCTCGAAAAAGTTGCACAAACTGCCTGGCATGTTGGATCTAACGCATTGCTGAAGACATTCCGATTCCGTTGTAGTGACAAACTGTCCTGCATTCAGCTGACATGCACCGTTTGGCGGACATTCAAACAAAGTCACGCTTGACTGCTCCCGTCAAAACGAGCCGAACGAGCAGAGAAACGGAGCAACCTTCTGCCTCCTCCACCGGCTCGACTACAGCCTCCGCCAATTTGGTACCCGCTTCAAGGCATCAGCCTCGCGACACGGTTGTCAACACGAGACGTGCACAATTTGTCACCGTCTCGGGCATTTTATTGCTCTGCTTGCAGAAGCAAGCAGAAGAGGCCATAGTTTCCGGCCAAACCGAAATGGTACCACCTTCGTGACGCCCAATCACTGCGCTACATCTTCCCATTTCATCGTTGGCCTGGCCTGTTGCTATTTGTGCAGAAGCATCGCCTCGCCTCGTCACGCTTCGCTTGTCACGTCTTTGCAACTCATCTCCGCGAAGCAAATCTGCACCAACTGCCAAGCCGAGTCTCAGAGCCTCAATTCTGCTCCGTAACTTTACATCTCACATGGCCTCCTTGCTTTTGCCGGACATGCTCTCGAAGGAATCTTGTTTGCAGAGAATTCCAGACTGTCGGATGCACAAACAAGCTAGGCTTTCGTCTGTACCTTAGGGTTGTAGCCGGTCAGCTTTTCTCTTGGATGGGCACATTTTCTGCTCTATTCCTCAAAGTAGGCATCGCTGCTTTGATGACGTCCAGCATGGCTGCAATCCTCCTTCGCCTGGCGTCGAGGCAACACCACCAATTTTATGCGGCCAACTCTTTCTGTAAAATGCAAACTGATGCCACAATCTGTCACTAAGGCACTCATCAAAACCCACTTTTTCCTCATGTCCTCTCGATTTCGATTTCGCTTCGCTTCACCTACTCATGGCAACATTTTACTTGGCGTCTCCTCTACGCCAGCTTGTCCCACTTCCTTCCTCTGCAGATTCCTTTCTACGAGGCTGTCGTTTTTCATTCGCCCCACCGGCTCCAGACAGTAGAGCACGAAAAAACTACATCTGTCCGGTTAACCAGCAGTCAACGTGAGCAAGTATGATAGAAATGGTATAGTAGACATAGTGTATTAGCATAGAATAGCAGAGACTGGCTCTGAATAGGCATACAGAAAGACAGATTGTCGCCTCTTCCAGATGGTTGTCTGTCTGGAAGGTCGGAGCTTGTAGCTCAGTCTGTCAGTCAGACATGGATACAATGCATTCACGTTGCTAGACAGGGGGTGGGCAGTAGGGTGGAGGGTGGAGGGTGGAGGGTGGTGGGAGAAAGAGGACAAGTTTGTCAGTTGTTCTGGACACCGTTGCTGCGAGTGGCCCACCTGGCAACTGTCAATGCTCTCGGCCAACGGATCGAACAGGCTGGAAGGTGGGGCTGGTTGTTGGCGCAATTGGGTCGTGGACAAGTTGTGCCCATTTTCGTGATCTACCTCTTTCCTAAACTATGTGAAACTGAAAACCAGTTGAAAAGTAAACAGGATAAGTACAGGTTTTTGGCGCGTCGTCTGGCTCGAGCTGTCGCATCTTCTCTCTCTCTCTCTCTCTCTCACGGTTTCGGCAGATCTTCTTCAACTGGCCGTCCAACGCCGGTTGCGTTGCGTTCCGCTCTGTTTGGTCCGGGCCGGAAGAACCGACGGACGGACGGACGGAATCAAATCGCTTGTTTGAAAAAGTCGCCCGCGTAAATGGCGTGGCAACCGAGTTCCTCCTCAATTCGCAGAAGTTGGTTGTACTTTGACAGGCGCTCCGAGCGACATGGCGCACCTGTTTTAATCTGGTCGGATCAAGCGATAAGACAAGGCGCAGTCATCAGGCTCTGAGACGAGAGTACAAAGACATGTGAAACTGTAGCTGAATCGGGCTGGCATATTGGCTTGGTGACTATCCGCAAGTCTCGATTAACAACCAACTCAGTGGACACCACGAAAAGGTGATGTTGAGATTGACAAAAGTGATTTGCTCTCCTCTCCGCAACCCATTCATCTGGCCGGGACGACGCCAAAAACGAACCCACCCTGTCCCTAATCATCTGCCCAAGGAGGCAGAAACATGTCAAGTGCCAGACTGTGGATTTGCTACATTTTCAGGCGCTTCATCGACATCGTCTTGACGCCAAACTACAGCCCGTCAAAGACGGCAATTTCAGGCTTTTAGGCAGCCAGATTTCAGACAGTGACTTTGATTTATAGAAGTGGGTCGTCCTCGTTGTCGTAACTTGGTCTTGTTGTCAGGGCGACTTGGTAGAACGCACCTAGTCCGAAGTTGTCATGGTTCCCAGCATCTGGCAGTGGACCTGGTACATTCTCAAAACGTTTCGCCGTTATCATCAGTCAGTGCTGCCATTCTCCGCTCCCAGCTACTAACTCATCAAAGAGACAAGTGAAGTCTGCCGAAAACGGTTACACTATCACTCCTCTTTCTGTCATTGTCTATCTATCTACTCTGTACACTCTTATCCCACTGCCACAAATTCTCATTTTTTTACCCACAGGGACTGGACCCGAGTGAACTCGGTCAACAGATCTACGAGACAATGAAAGGACCTGGATTGGCGGTGCATCGAAAGAGAGGGGTCGGGGTTTGCCACAAAAGGGCACACATTCTGACGATTGAAATGTAAACAAGTGAGAAGTTGAGATAAGAATGTAAAGAGTAAATTGATAGATAATGACAGAAAGAGGAGTGATAGTGCAACCGTTTTCGGTAGAACGTTTGTCTCTTTGACGAGTTCGTAGCTTGGTTTGGAGGATGGCAGAACTCACTGATGATGTCGAATACGATGCCGGCGAAACGTTTAAGAATGTACAAATTCCACTTTCTGATGCTGGCAGTCATGACAACTGCTTTGGCAGACGACTTCGGACTAGGTGCGTTCTACATACTCGCCATGACAACAAGACCAAGTAGCGACAACGAGGTCAACCCACTTATATGAATTGAAAGGAGACTGCGACCATACCAGAGGTCTTCATATATTCAAGTGACTTTGATGTTTAGCAGCGGTCAATCGACAAGCGAGTGGAAAAAAAAGTGGGGCATCTGATCCCGGTGGTGATGATCACGCTTCACTAAACCCACTTGTAGCAACACAGTCTTAGGCGACGTTAGAGCAAACGAGAGCACAGAATTTTGCGAATAAGCGCATGGGCCATTAGAAGTGGGACTAGAAGATAGAAAAAAAATGGGGGCGATGAGTGAGAGCACAATAGTTGAACAGAAAATGGGTCAATTGGTCACAAATTGACAGGTTATAACTATGCCCTAGCAATGGTACCTCTCAATGACTATGTCGGCGAAACGTTTGTGCATGTACCGAGTTAACGGTCCGATGCTAGGAAATATTATGAATACTATGGCCGAGGACACGGGACTAGGTACGTTCCACAAGATATCGCTGACATTCCAATCAAGTTGGCAAAACAACGTCGAACCAACATTGTTAATCCCATAGTCTGTATGGCCCCGCCGTCTTACGGCCTGTTCGTGTGCATCCCTGATAAATCAAAATTCGACGAGCAAATATTCCTCTTCTTTTACTTGCTCATTCACCGATTCAATAAAATTATGAGGATTTTTTAATTGAAAATTGCCAAAAGCCTGACATTTGCTTTGATTCACCACAAAAAATCGTCATCACACAACACTTGTTGTGCCTGATGCTTCCAAGTGGGAAGACTGCTTTGTGCATTTCGACAGAGCATATGCATCAAGAGATCTGGCATCGCAGGCGTCACTTAAGTCTCGAATTTAGTACTTCTGAACAGTATCTGGGTTTCGATGAATCTCCTGAGATAACATTATTGCTGGAATGTTCATTTCGTATGAAGGTGTATGAAGAAGAGATTCGAATGTCGACCTCACCAGAAAAGAACGGTTGAATCCTGTTGTATTGCAGCCGTTTGGCTTTCATACGACGTTGACATTGACGCAGACCACAAGACCTGCTCCTTCTTTTCAGGTGTTAACTTGAGAATTTTACAAGAATGAGTCCCTGCTCTGATGACGCCCGTTTTCAGCCGAAACGAGAGAGGAGGTCTCGTGGACTGCGTCAACCTGAACGTCGTATCAAAGCAAAACGGCTGCAGTACAACGCGATTCATCCGAATCGCGAATCTCTTCTTCATACACTTTTTATACGAAATGAAAGTCCAAGCAATAATTTAGTGCTTCTGTAGGTCCTTTAGTTATAAACCCATGCGCATCAAAATCGACTAGAGCCTACATCATTTTTTTACATAATCTGCATTAGCCATAACTAAAACGAGGTTGCTTGACCTTGTTTTCGCAACATGATCATATTGGAATTATCCCATCTGTTTAGCATAAAATGCCTGAGAATGTACCAAGTCAATGGTTCGATGCTGAAAAGATGACAGAGAATGTAGGATTAGGTACATTCCACAAGGTCTCGCTGCCGCTTTAACCATGTTGTGAAAACTTGATCAAACGTATACCATAGATTAACAATTCGAGGGTGACTTTTGGTTGTCAAGCTGTTACTACTTTTAAAAGATTTTTTGCTTTGCGATCAAACAATTAAGAAAGAATAGACTAGAAAATTTCCTCAACACTTATTTGCAAAAATGCTGAAATAAATACTTATAGATTATTTTTTTACTAGTTAAGAGGAACGCACCTAGTCCGGAGTCCATTGTCTGCTCGAAACCAAACTTTTCTTCGTATGCATGATAATTTCCAAAGTTGAACCGTCGATGTGGTACATTCTCAAACGTTTCGCCAGCATCGTCAGTGAGTATCGCCATTCTTAGCACCATACAACAACTCGTCAAAAGAGACAAGTGAAGCCGATTCTTTGACCAAATGTGTGCTAAAAAATTGTGCTATCTCTCCTTCTGCTCTGGGCTATTCACATTTCCTATTTCCTCCAATCACACCTTCACTGTGCTGGTACGGTGTGGTGAGTTTAAGCTGCCAGATCTTCATCACATTTGATTTAATAATCAATTATTTTACTAACATTTTCTATTGTCATTTTGCCAACTACACTGCTATAGAAGTTGTTTGACCTTGTTTTCGCAACATGGTCATGTTGGTAGGAAGACTTAGAGGAACGCACCTA